AGTAACAAGTGCCACGCTAGTAGTAACAAGTGCCACGCTAGTAGTAAGGACTTCTGGAAGCCAGAGTTCCGACCTCCAAAGCAAACGCTGCCGACTTTCTGGCAGGGCAGACGCTTGACACCCTGCTTGGCCTTCCGCGATGAGGGCGCTTACCGTGTAACTTGGGCTCACGGCTTTGCGCTTCCACAGGAGACTTCCTGTCATCTAAAGATTCCCAGTGGCCAGCCTTGAAAGAAAAACTGCACTGAAATGGCAGCTCATGACTTGCGGCGAAGATGAATTTGCAGGGTCCTTGAGGGAGGCATCTTCAGGGTTCTTGGCGAAGGTCTCCCATCTCCAGTCTTTTGTCAGTTGTCTCAAACCGGAGGTACGAATTGTCGAGATTGGTTGACACCTGAGATAGAGCTGACAATGTGGATATTGACAATATATATATAATATTGATCAAACTACTTGAGTATTTCACTACAGATGAGCTCAGCTACTCATTTGCTTACACCACCTTTGGAAGTGCGCAGACTGGGTTATGAGGTGCGACGCCACCACTTGATGTACAGAAAGTCACTTGGAAGGGATCAGGGCAGTTCCTTTGTAATCAAGGGGGTACCTACCTGTATGTGCTAATTAGCAATGGCCTCCAACCTAGTAGCGATGGCCTCCAACCTAATAGCGATGGCCTCCAACCTAGTAGCAATCGCCTCCAACCTAATAGCAATGTCTTTATGCTTTTGATGTTTTCAGCTTAACTGTGCAAATTTGTGTTGACAATCCACCTGTGATTAAATCCACTCACTGCCACGAGGGGACTCTAGATACTCTATGACTCTATGACCTTTGGTAGTGGAGGTGCTATGGTAGTCCTAGGCACATGTCTGACTAGCTCTTGGAGTCGATACAGAAGATGTGGAATGGATACATGTGACTGATCAAGTTGGAATGGCGACTCACACCTCCCACACATCGAGGCTACTCGCCAAGACTCCAAAGTCGCAGACTGGAGAACCAGCTGGAGTGACTTTGACTGGGAGGTCGGAAGAAGTCGAACACATGTAAGGCACTTGTTACTAGTAGCTTCTTGTTACTACTAGTAAGGCAC